GCAGGCCGGTATATATGCACAGAAAACCCACCACCAAAACACACCCCCTACTTCCCTATAGTCTATATACAGTAGCCGAGAGTCCCATAGGCTCTCGGCTGCGGACCTGGCCCTCTGATAGGCGCGGGCTAGGATCCGCTCAGCTATTGTTCATGGGGAGCGAAGCTTCAGGCTTTTGCATGACCGCATGGCCCAATGGTCGCGCACGTGGTAATGGCGGAGTACATTACAAGAAGCATGAGGGGGTTGTCCCTATAGGAGAGACCTGCAGAGACATGTGTCTCCATGGAAGGCCATGTGTAGAGAGGAAGAGGACAAAGCAAGTAAGAGAGGAGGGGTCAGAGGGCAGCTCCCAAGTTAAGACAAAGAGAGGCATCTATCCTATTCAAGGGGATAACACCTATACACCCTTAGAGTGATGTAGCGCCCCCCAGTGTCTAGGCATGCTGAGTCACTCACTCCAACAATGATGACACGTGGAAGGGGCAAGCAGGCCCACCCCCAGCCATTTCTAGAAGAAGAGAAGAGATTGGATTTATACCCCGCCCTTCACTTGGAGTCTCAGAGCGGCTCACAAACTCCTTTCCCTTCCCCCTCCCTACAACAGACACCCTGTGATGTGGGTGGGGCTGAGAGAGCTCTGACAGAAACTGCTCTTTTTCAAGGACAGCTGTGCCAGAGCTTGTGACTGACCCAAGGTCACACCAGCAGGTGCAAGTGGAGGAGTGGGGAATCAAACCCGGTTCTCCCAGATTAGAGTCCACGCACTTAACCGCTACACCAAACTGGCTCTACTGGCAAAAAGAACACAGGAGGGAAGCGTAAGGTCCCTCTCCTCCTGGCAGCATTCCAGAGCTGACAGAGCAATGAAGCCCTTTGAAGGTGAGTTCTCCCTGATTGTACCTGTGACTACAAGATGGGTTAGGCCCCCCATGATCAGCGTCACACGTATCAATTGTATTTTGGCCCTGAGTTTGCACAGTAAGGAAACCTGTGCCCAGATCCGAAGCACCATTGCTTGGAAGCCACTCCCAGTAATATTAGATGGATATTTTCAGACAAGGATGTTAAAGAGGAATTCCAGCTGCTGATGAGAATCTATGAAATGGCTTTCTGGAAAGTTCCTGAGCCCCCAAGTCTGTGTATTTTTTTGAGCATGGGATGAGAAACTTCTCTGTCTGAACTGGGATTTGGTAGCCAGGACTTGTGCTCTCGGGAGCTGTCTGTAGTTTTTAACTTTTACTGGCATTTCTGATTTTCAAATGACACATTTCCTAGCATGAAAGTAAGGAAGGGTTGTTTTTTTTTAATGTGTTTTAATCAAAAGCTATGGGCTTCCTCTTGTCTTTCCTTTTCTTTCTTTGTTGCCTCTCAGAAGGGATTGAAATGCAAAATCAAAAACCGCTGCTCCTTTCCCCCCCCCCTTTTTGACAGAGAACAAAACAAGAAAGAGAAGCCGCCGAGGACTTTGATCACGCCCGAAGGAAGAGTTCTGAATGCGAATGCTCCCCAGTACGTATGGAGAAACTGTCATCTTGGAGAGTGAGCTGCTTTTGAATGAGGGGCTCGGTTATCTGATGAAGGATTTCGATAATTCGCTAGTCAGAACAGCTTTGTCAGATTCCAAAAAAGAGTATTTTTTTCCATTTAAGGTTTGCTGTGCTCAGGTTAAAAGTATGCTCCAAAGCTGGAGATTGAGTATATGATCAAGTAGATTCTTCAGTGGTCAAAAAGAGCAAGAGTCCAGTAGTACCTTAAAGACTAACAAAATTTGTGGCAGGGTATGAGTTTTTGTGAGTCACTGCTCACTTCTTAAATGATCAAGGGGATGGAATACCTTCACTGTGAAGAAAGGCTAAAGAGGTTAGGGCCCTTTAGCCTGGAGAAAGGACGATTGAGGGGTGAGGTTGACAAAATTATGCGTGCGACAGAGACGCAATACAAGAATGCGACAGAGATGCAATACAAGAAGTGGGAGGGCTTCTAGTGTCCTGGCCCCACTGCTGGACCTCCTGATGGCACCTGGTATTTTTGGCCATTGTGTGACAGAGTTTTGGATTAGATGGGCCTTTGGCCTGATCCAACATTGGTTTCTCTTATGTTCTTATGTTCTTAACTCATGGGCACTTAATGGAATTTAGGAGCAGCAGGTTAGATAAAAGGAAGTACTTCTTCGCCCAAAGAGTAATTAACACATGGAATTCACCGCTACGAGCTGTGGTGGAGGTTACAAGCATAGACAGTTTCAAGAGGGGGTTGGATAAACATATGGAGCAGAGGTCCATGAGTGGCTATTAGCCACAAGGTATAGATAGGAACTCTCAGTTTGGGGCAAGGGATGCTCTGTATTCTTGGCGCTTTGGGGGGCAACAGTGGGAGGGCTCCTAGTGTCCTGGCCCCACTGCTGGACCTCCCGATGGCACCTGGGTTTTGGCCACTGTGTGACCCAGAGTGTTGGACTGGATGGGCCATTGGCCTGATCCAACATGGCTTCTCTTATGTTCTTATGACTTGTCTGAGGCTGGCTGGCCCCTTCAGAGACCTTGTTGGTGGAATCATGGGTAGGAAGGTGACCCTGACGTCTATAGCAGTCCGCACAGCTATCAGGCATTTGTACTGCAAGCCGAGTCCCAGGCTACTAAAGGAACGTGGAACTTCTCATTATATGTTTGTGACGATTATCCAACCGACCCTAGAATACACCAGGCAGCCTTCTGTTAAAAGGGTGGGGGTGGTGCAGGAGAAATGGATGAGGATGAGCGCTCAAAAAATAATTTGCCTGTTGTTTTTTTTTAGTTCCGAAAGCTCACTCTGAGCCCCTGTGCTGTAGTGGTTAAGAGACCCAGGTTTGAATCCCCACTCGCGCCATTGGAAGCTCAGTGGACGACCTTGGGCCAGTCACACACTCTCAGCCTAACCTACCTCACAGGGTTGTTGTGAGGATAAAACGGAGAAGAGGAGAATAATGTCAGCCGCTTTGGGTCCCCATGGGAGAGAAAGGCAGGGGATCAATAAAAAAATAATAATTGCAGAGCCGATCCCTTAACGTAAATTTCCCTTTCTCTTAGAAATGCTCCTACCTTGCAGTTTGGTGTAGTGTAGAGCCAGTTTGGTGTAGTGGTGAAGTGCGCGGACTCTAATCTGGGAGAACCGGGTTTGATTCCCCACTCCTCCACTTGCACCTGGCTGGATGACCTTGGGCACGCCGTAGTTCTGGCACAGCTGTTCTTGAAAAAGAGCAGTTTCTGTCAAGAGCTCTCTCAGCCTCACCTACCACATAGGGTGTCTGTTGTGGGGAGGGGGAGGGAGAGGAGATTGTAAGCCGCTCTGAGACTCCTTCGGGTAGTGAAGGGCTGGGTATAAATCCAATCTCCTCTCCTCCTCCTCCCCCCAGATAATATAGCCTTCTGTGTCTCCCTTTTTACTTATTTATTTTACTTAGTCCAGATTAGCTACTTAAAAAGCCTCCACCAATGTTCAACCCCATTTTAGCACCATTCTGCATTTGCCTTCCACTCTGGGTTTTCTCAGTGTTCGAGTCGAGGCGATTTAAGTCCGCAGCAAAACGGCATCCAAAAAACCTGGGGGCAACGGCGGGCTGAAACCGGGCCGACCACTGAAGGGAGGTAACATAATGCAGAACGGGGGGGGGGGGGGGAACCCAGCCACATTTTAGGAAGGATGTTGACAAGCTCGAGCGTGTCCAGAAGAGGGCAACTAGGATGGTGAGAGGGTTGGAATCCAAGTCTTATGAGGAAAGGCTGAAAGAGTTGATTATATTTAGCCTGGGAAAGAGAAGGCTTAGAGGGGACATGATTGCAGTCTTCAAGTATTTGAAGGGCTGTCATGTAGAAGATGGAGCAGATCTATTCTCTCTTGCTCCGGATTGCAAGACTAGATCGAATGGGTGGAAATTACAAGGGAGTTGTTACTGGCTAAATATCAGGAGAAACTTCCTAACTGTAAGAGTGGTTGAGCAGTGGAACAGACTGCCTTGGGAGGTGGTGGACGCTCCTTCACTGGACGTTTTCAAGTGGAGGCTGGATGACCATTTTTAGGGTATGTTGTAGAACTATCTTTCGGCTGTGCTCCTGCAGAGTGCAGGGGGTTGGACTAGATGACCTGCAAGGTCCCTTCCAGCTCTAACATTCTATGATTCTATTGGGGGGGGGGGACGGAATAAAAAGAAGGCCAAATTTGATTTTAGTGCAGAATTGATTGGAGGACATGGATTACAAGGAGAGTACGGAAAGGGCCATAGAGACCAACGACATCTTTGCATCCTGCCTAAGAGCCACAAGGGGAAAGCAGAGCAGCGGTAGAAAAACAAATCCCAGCGTTTGACAACAGTGCCTCGCAAGAAACTCGTCGCCATTATCGATGTCTCGCCTTTGTTGTAAAAATGTGTTGACAGCTGCGCAAAAATTAGAATCGCTTTCTCGTTCAGGGGAAGACAAGCAGGCAGTACCTTAAAGGGTTGCATCGACAGGTTGGATCGGTGGCTCTGAGAGTTGAAAACGCACAGCGAAGAAATGTCTAAAGCTCCACAGACTTAATGAATGACCTACTGTTCTCTTTGTGCAGCGGATTAATGCAGCCAGATTTTGGTCGACCATTTGAGGTTGAGGAACAGCACAAGCCGCAAACCTTGTCCGGTGATTAATTTCGCTGTAACAAGAGGAAGCAGAAGCTGCAGTGGCTACAGTACCTTTGCTCAGATATCAAGTTCCCATTCCTTCTAGTGCAGTTGCGGATGCTATGGTTTTATGGCCCAAGGTCTTTTTTCCTTTGTCAGGTTTCTCGATCCCTGTTAGGTTTTCTTGTCTCTGATTTGTTATCCTTCTCCCAGCGTCCCACACTTTCTTTCAAGCACAGAAAACTGCTGTGTTATAGTGGTTTAGAAGACTGGACTAGGGCAGGGGACCGTAGTGTGGTGCTGATGCACATCATGGCCAATGTTCCCTCTAAGGTGTGGAGTCGTGTGAGCAAAAATTCTACTTTGTGAGCTGCTAGCATTAAAGTTGTGAGCCAGCGATTTGGCTACTGCATACATTAGTTTGCTCTGGAGCCATCCTTCCTGAGCGAAGACAAAAATGTGTGAGCCAAAGGCTAAAAAACGGTGAGCTAGCTCACACTAACTCAGTTTAGAGGGAACACTGATCATGGCACCAGCTAATACCTTTCCTGTAGCACCTTAACGACGAACAAAATCTGTGGCAGGGGATGAGCTTTTGTGAGTTACTGCTCACTCAAGTTCTGAGGAAGTGAGTAGTGACTCCTAAAATCTCATGCTGTTGTTGTTGCTGTTCAGTCGCACATTCGAGTCCGACTCTTCGCAACCCCATGGACCAGATCACGCCAGGCCCTCCTGTCTCCCGTCGTCCTCTGAAGTTTGCTCAATTTCATCGCTGTGTTATAGTGGTTTAGAAGATTGGACTAGGGCAGGGGACCATAGTGTGGTGCTGATGCACATCATGGCACCAGCTAACACCTTTTCTGTAGCACCTTAACGACTAACAAAATTTGTGGCAGGGGATGAGCTTTTGTGAGTTTCTGCTCACTCAGAAGTTCTGAGGAAGTGAGTAGTGACTCCCGAAATCTGATGCTGTTGTTGTTGCTGTTCAGTCGCACAGTCGAGTCCGACTCTTCGTGACCCCATGGACCACATCACGCCAGGCCCTCCTGTCTTCCGTCGTCCTCTGGAGTTTGCTTAACTTCATGTTCGTTGCATCCATGACACTGTCCAACTATCTCATCCTGTGCCGTCCCCTTCTTCTTTGACCTTCAGTCTTTCCCAGCATCAGGATCTTCTCCAGTGAGAGCTCCCTTCTCATTTGGTGGCCAAAGTATCTGAGCTTCAGCTTCAGTATCTGGCCTTTCAGGGAACAGTCAGAGTTGATTTCTTTTAGGATTGACTGGTTCAATCTCCTTGCAGTCCAAGGGACTCTCGAGAATTTCCTCCAGCGCCATAATTTGAAAGCATCTATTCTTTGGCACTCAGCCTTCTTTACGGTTCAGCTCTCGCAGCCGTACATTACTTCTGGGAATACCATCACTTTGACCGTACAGACTTTTGTTGGCAGGGTGATGTGTCTACTTTTTATTATGCTGTCTAGGTTTGCCATACTGGGTTTGCCATTCTAGTGCTACAGAAAGACTAACATGGCATAGGCTCTTTATTATAACGTTCAGGGAGAAACCTCAGCACTGTGAATTTGGGGGCTTCCAGACTTTATGTTAAGAGACAAGGTTGTCTTCAGCATTTCAAATAGCAAGGTCAAGGGACAGCTCCTGGAAAACTAGGGATTGTCAACTCCAGGCTGGGAAATTCCTGGCGATTTGGGGGCGGGACCTGAGGAGGGCGGGGTTTGGGGAGGGGAGGGACCTCAGCAGGGTATGATGCCATAGAGTCCACCCTAACTTAGCGGGTTTTAGAATTCACATTCGTTTTGAGCAGCATTTTTCTTCAGCTGAACTATTCCCTGTCATCTGGAGATCATTTGTAATCCTTGGAGATTTCCAGGCCCTGCCTGGGGGTTGGCAACCCTACTTAAAACCCCAATTTAATTCTGGCTCAGGCAGTTAATATTTGCCAAGCAAAGGCCCTCAACAGAGCTCAAGCATCTGCCATGACTGTGGAACCCAGAATTCTAGCAGTTCAGCGCAGGAAGGAACAACCCAGGTAACCCTCTAAGTAAGTGGGTGGGGCCAGGTGTGACTTTGGCCCAGCAAGGCATTTGATTGGCCACTGGAGATTTTATTGGCTGTGCAGACTTTTAAAAACATTGCTTCAGCGGCTGCTACTCCCACAGCACAAGGATCTTCACTGTGTGATTGAATGTAAGCTGCGGCAGCCATTTTGAGAATTCAGAATTCCAAATGTGCTTGTTCAGTGTCAGGTATCTTGGATGCTACTTTTGGGCACACGTAGGGGTTTGATTGTGTAAAGGACTCCACACACCTGAGCTCGGTCAGAATTCCAAAGGTGCCCACAGGTACAAGAAGGTTGGGGGGCCCTGGATGAGGGTCTGGGAGATCCAGATTCCCGACTCTGGATGGAAGCTCTCAGCCTAACCTACCTTACAGGGCTGTTGCGAGGAGAAAATGGAGGAGAAGACAAAGATGTAAGTTGCTTTGGGTCTCCATTGAGGAAGAAGGCAGGGTTGAAATGAAGAAAGTAAATTATAAGAGGGAGAATTTGAACACCCTCGGGTTTTTGTTTTTTTTTAAATCAAAGGCCCCAGTCACACGGGCTGGATATCACGGGGGGAGGCATGGCTGTTTGCCCCGGAGCGAACTACCGCGCGGCAGTGGGATCAGACATCCCGTGGTTGAGGGGGAGGGGCCGATCATACGTCACTCCTGCGGCGTGGCAAAGAAGCGGATTGGCGGGTGTTTTTTTTTATAACCCAAGTGTTTGCATGCTCCGTTGGGTGCTTGTGCGCATCCCATGGAGACTTGGAAAAAAAACCCCTTTTTGCAACGGGACATGGGCGGGCGCTGGATGCCACCGGAAACGTGATCAGATGCCCGCCCTTGCCCCGCGGTTTTCGGAAACTAGTACCTCGGAGGTACTAGTTTTTTACCCTGCATCTTTGGTGGGAAGCCTCGGGTTCGCCACGGGAGCTCTACGCTTCCCAGATGTGGAGGTGTGATCGCGCCCGGAAAATCCGCCTATCTTCCGTCTCTGTAGCGTGGCTAATGCTCCGTGTGACCGCAGCCAAAGTAAGGAAGGTGTGCTTTCTCTAATTGGATTGATTTGTGTAGTTTATGGTAATTGTTCACCTTGTGGTGTCGTGTCACCAATTTTTGAGTTCTTCTACTCACCTCATTCCCAGCATAACTCTCTCAAGATGTTGAGAAGGTGTTACATGAGGAGGCCTCGCGGGATTATCCACCCAGCGTGGTTTTTGAATGTGAGATAACGGCTGTGATTGTTTTCCCCAGGCTGAAGACAGGTAGAGAAGGGTGTGGAGGATCTCTGTATATAATATGCTTTCCAGACGTCCCATGAATGGCTGCCTTTCAGAGATTGCAGCTGATTCCGAAAAAGCATCATGGTGCAGAAGTAGGCTTGCCAGCTCTGGGCTGGGGAATTCTGGGAGATTGTGGGGGTGGAGCTTGGGAAGGGCGGGGTTTGGGAAGGACAGGGACCTCCGTGGGGTACAATGCCATAGAGCCCACCCTCCAAAGCAGTCATTTTCTCCAGCGGAACAGATTTCTGAAGTCTAGAGATCATTTGGCCATCTGAGAGATGGCCAGGCTGTACCTGAAGGTTGGCAACTCTACTGAGCTCAGATATGTGGAGTCCTTCACGTAATCAAACTCCTACATGTGCCCAGCCCAGTGAATCCTTTACTGGGGTGATCTCATTCCGAAAGTAGCGTCCAAGACACCTGACATCAAACAAGCGATACGGCTTGCCCAGAGGACGTTTGGATTTGTGTCTCTCCCACGGCAGCCCATCCCCCTTTCCCCCCAAGTCACATAACAAACTGTCTTTGAAACCGAGTTATACTATGGGATGGGAAAGGTGCTGTTTTTCAAGAGAGAGAAAAAATATCCCTCCGTAAAGCAGCTTTCTGGGTTCCAGGCTAAAGTCATACAATTGGAGGTACCTTAAGGTTGCAAGGCCCGCTCCTCCCTCCAAAAGGGGGATTTGGGGGGGCATTCCAGGGGTGGGCGGGGATGCCCCCCAAGCACGACCACCGGCCTGGCCGTCCCTCTCCCTCCCCTGTTGCCAGATTTAAAGGGCTTCCTCGGATCAGAGGGGACCACGTGGCCCACCGATCAGCTGGAGGGCCCTTTAAATCTAGAGGGGGCCCCAGTCGTGGACTGCACGCTCGGCTTGCAAAAAGACCCTTTAACGGATCTTTTGTGAGTGGGGTGGGGGCCACAGTGCACAGGGCTGGGGGAAATCAGATTGGAGCCCCCAAAAGCAGGGGAGGGGGGCTGGCAACCCTGGGACCCCCTAGCTTAGAGAATATCTGAAGTGAAACTGAACAGACAGTGTCGATCGAAACATGGCCCAAATACTGAAGAGACTGGTCTCCCGAATGAATAATTCATCATCTGTAACACTCTCTGAAATATTGTCACTTAAAAAAACCTGCATAATGCTATTCCTTTCCATGTAGATAACAGATAATGTAACTATTTCCCTGTTAGTTTTGCTGCCAGCAGGTGTCTCTCTTCCAGCATAACATAAGAACATCAGAGACGCCAATGTTGGATCAGGCCAACACTCTGTCACACAGTGGCCGAAAATACCAGGTGCCATCAGGAGGTCCACCAGTGGGGCCAGGACATAAGAAGCCCTCCCTTTAAAAAAAACCCCCAAACCGAGTTTGTGCAGAAGGCTTCGTTCATGCTTGTACTGTTAGCACCCCCCCCTGGCAATTCAGAATACAATTTGTGCACTTCTAGAGGTATCCTGGATCTTGTTAACGAAGCCACACCTGTTAATGAAGCCATGCCATCACAGACCTCTAACAGTTGAAGAACTTCATCCCGTCCTTCTAAAAGTCCATACGCTTTCTTTCTGTTTCTAGGCTTCCTTTCTCCTTGAAAGATGACGAAGAAAACAGCCAGTTCGTTTTGGATCTTGCCGTTTACAGGTCGGAATGTCGTCGCTAAGTCTCTGTTAGTGCCGGTAGTGAGTGGGGTTAGAGTTGGCAGGTCTGGGTTGGAAAATACCTGGAGACTTTGGGGGTGGATCTGGGAGAGGGCGGGGTTTGGGGAGGGGAGGGGCCTCAGCATGGGACAATGCCATAGAGTCCACCTTTCAAAGCAGCCATTTTCTCCAGGGGAGCTGATCTCTGTTAGCTGGAGATGGGTTGTAAAAGCGGGATATCTCCAGACCCCACCTGGAGGCTGGCAACCCTAAGGGGGGTGAGGGTAGGGTTGAAAGCTCCAGGTTGGGAAACTCCTGGAAATTTGGGGATGGAGCCTGGAGAAGACAGGGACCTCAGTGGGGTACAATGCCATAAAGAGTCCACCCCCTCAAAGCAGTCATTTTCTCCACCTTTGTAGTCTGGAGATGACCTGCAATCCTAGGGGATCCCCAGGTCCCACCTAGAGGCTGGCATCCCTAGTGATTTTCAAATATTTGCACATCTGCTTTGCCTGCTTTGTTGGACGCAGCCTAATCTCATCATGTATCGACCATCCTGTCCTATGATATAAACGTGTAGTGGTCTGGCAACGTTCTATGCTTGGCAAAATCAGTTCGCTGCCTGACGTGCCCATCAGAAGGCACTGCCTCCGTTGGCTGGCTGCGTTGCTGAGTCCCACCCACAGCAGCGACGGCGAGTCTCTCAGCCTCAGTCTGCTGTCACCAGACCGGCAGGCGGAGGATCACCACACCGACTGCCTCGAAGTCTGGGAGCGGGGCAAAAGGCCAGAAAACTTCACAAATCTGTGGCGGCCAGGCGGGGGGTGGGGGTGGCGCGCGGGGTACTCACACGCCGACGGCTTTTCAGAGCCGGCTTGCTCACCCTCCCCGCAGCCGTGGGGAAGTCGACCAAGCCAAGGGAAGGAGAGGCAGTTTAAACCGCCTCCCCTCCCCTCCCAGAGCTGGCTCGCTCGGCCTCCCCACGCAACGGGCATGGGCGGGGGATGAGGCCAGGCGGCTTGGCCTGCCGGGGACTCGAGCAGGGGGCAGAGAAGGAGACCAGGGCCCACAGCTGCCCGGCTAAGCAGGAGAAGCCCCCCCGGCCCCTCCTGGCCTGACCGCCGATGCAGGCGAGCCAGGAAGGGGCCGGGGAGGATGAACGGGCAGGAGGAGCCACCCACGGCCCCCACCTCACCTGCCCGCCGAGCCAGGCAGCCCAGGAAGGGGCTGGGGAGAGCAGACAAGCACAAGAAGCCACCCACGGCCCCCTCCCCCTCCTGGCCCACCCGCTGGGGAGGCCTCCAAGAGGTCCCCCCCGCGTCCCGTCCCCCCCCGCCTGCCCAGGCCACGGAGCCAGGAATGGCGGGGAGGGGGCCCACCAGCCAATGCTGCAGGGCCCCGCACTCGCCCAGGCCCCCTTCCTAGAGCTCGTTGCATTTCTTTCCGCAACGGGCCTTTCTCCTAGTTCAGTGGTGGCGAACCTATGGCACGGGTGCCAGAGGTGGCATTCAGAGCCCTCTCTGTGGGCACGCGTGCCATCGTCCCAGCCAGGCCCAGACCTTCATTAAAGTGTCGAATTCTCTGCCAAATAATTTTAAGTAAATGAAAGCATTTGGGATTGCTTTCCTTACTTTGTTTGGATCATTTAAAGTCAATGTATGAGTTGTTTTTTCTAAAGTAAAACCTCAGTATTCAGGTTAAATTGCCATGTTGGCACTTTGCGATAAATAAGTGGGTTTTGGGTCGCAGTTTGGGCACTCAGTCTCTAAAAGGTTCGCCATCACTGTCCTAGTTGGTTTATAAATCCACATTGTCTCCACATTTTATTTATTTTTTTTAAACAATTTTATTGTACAGATATTAAAAAACAGATTAAATTTTTCATAACATTTCAATCTTTTCATATCCATTTTCGAATGTCTCCCCACCCCCCGTTACATGGCTTCCCACAGTGCGTTATCCCCCTTAAATTTTCATCTTAATCTTTAATTCTATATTTTATCATATTACAAACTAATCTTTCAGGTAACATTACTTAAATTCATCATTTCAATACTTTTTTTTTTTCCATTCTAATAACTATCAAAATTTATTAAAGTATTTTTAACATTCCATTTCACTTCTACATATTCTTTAAAGTCTTTCCACTCTTCATAGAATTCTTCATCTTCCTTGCCGTTAAGTTTCTTTGTCAATTTGTCCATTTCAACCATAAAGAGCATTTTTTTTATCCAGTCCCATATTTCTGGTACCACATTTTTATTATTATTATTATTTATTTATTTAACTTTCGATTTCTATACTGCTCTATCCCGGAGGCTCTGAGCGGTTTACACGGCTTATTAATACTCCTAACTAGGGCCACACAATAATTGGGGAAGGTGAGTGCCTACCAGGCACCCTGCCGGCTAGTTGTTCTTCCAGCGGCTCTTCTCTCCTCTGACTCCACATGGAATTGTCAGTATTAAATTGGTCTCACAGCACAGGCGGACCTAGCCGCCCAAGCCTCTCTCATCGCGAGGCAGCTAAACTGAGATGCAGTTGCAGATCATCTGATTTGATTTCATTAGGCTTTTATCAAGACTTAGGTTTCGCCTCCTCTACAGCAACCTCTTTGAGCCAGTGGGCACCTTGGGAATTCTGCCAGAGTGTGGTGGGTGCAGCCACAAAATGGCTGACACAAAACTGCCACTGCAGGAGGCAGAGCCAGTAGCAAAATGGCTGCCGCCAGCAGTTTCCCTTCACCCATACAGTGAAGGCCCTTGTTGCTGTGGTGGCCGCTGCTGCCAAAGCAACTTTTTAAAAAAATCTGCACAGCCAGTCAAATCTCCAGTGGCCAATCAGATTCTTTCTTTTCTTAAATGTTAAGAATGGAGCAGGGGAGAATATTGTAAGCCACTTTGGGCCCCCGTTGTGGAGAAAAGTTAGGTATAAATGAAGTAAGGTAAAGGTAAAGGTTCCCTTGCTTGAAAGCCAGTCGAGTCCGACTCTAGGGTTGCGGTGCTCATCTCCATTTCAAAGCCGAAGAGCCAGCGCTGTCCGAAGACGTTTTCGTGGTCATGTGACTGGCATGACTAAACACCGAGGCGCACGGAATGCTGTTACCTTCCCACCGGACTGGTACCTATTTATCTACTTGCAATTTCTTGCTTTCGAACTGCTAGGTTGGCAGGAGCTGGAACTAGAGACGGGAGCTCACTCCATCATGTGGCAACTTGGGTCTCGAACTGCTGAACTACTGACCTTCCACAGCCTGCAGTTCAGCGACTTAACCACTTGAGCCACCGCAGCTCCATAAATGAAGTAGAAATTAATAATTAAGAGAATTTAAAGGCCAAGAGCAGCCTCTGTTCCATAGCGCCTGTAGAGATCAGAAAGGTCAGAGAAAAAGAGAGAAACAAGGCTATGTGTTATTAGGATTGCCAACCTCCAGGTGGGGCCTGGGGAATTACAGCTCATCTCCGGACTACAGAGATCAGTCCCCCTGGATAAAATGGCTGCTTTGGAGGGTGGGCTCTATGGCATTTTAGCATGCTGAGGTCCCTCCCTTCCCCAAACCTTGTCCTCTCCAGACTTCCCACACAAATATCTCCAGGTATTTCCCAACCCTATTCTGAATTTGCCTAGAGATATAAGGCCTCAGAAGATATAGACTTGTCTTCACCCCTCCCCTCATGCTAGCAAACAGTAATATATGCGTGAAGCAAAACCTTATGAATTGGACTAGTTTACGCAGGGCTCTTTTTGTAGAAAAAGCCCAGCAGGAACTCATTAGCATAATAGGCCACACCCAACAGCAGAAACTCATTAGCATATTAGGCCACACCCCTGACAGCACAGCTCATTAGCATATTAGGCCGCACCCCCATGTTACCAGAAGTGTGGTCATCCAGCCACACCCACCTTTTGCTTCTTATTCTGTTTACCTTGTTTGCTGTCAAAACCCAGGGCTTTTCTTTGTAGCCGGAACTCCTTTGCATGTGAGGCCGCACACCCCTAATGTAGCCAATCCGAATGAGTTTCTGCTGTTGGGTGTGGCCTGTTATGCTAATGAGTTCCTGCTGGGCGTGGCCAACTTGGGAGCCAGCCGGAACTCCGTTCCTGTGCGTTCCTGCCCAAACATAGCCCTGCAGCAGAGTAAGGTGGAGGGCAAGGAGGCAGAATCCTGAGGTGGTAGAATGGACCATCTCTCCTCAGGTGACATGAGCATGCATTTGTGTTTATTTAAATCCTGCTGTCCCTCCCAGCTGGGACTCAGAGCGGCTTAGAACATTGCCCTCCTCTGTTCTCCCTCAACAATTGTACATTCAATGTACATTCAATGTACTAACTTTGGTACTTTGTACATTCAGTGTACTAATTTTGGTGCCGTGACTCACCATACTGACGTGATGGAGGCGGTGGGACTTGAGGAACGGGAAATGACATCACGAACGAAGGTGACACGGCTCTCAGTGGGGAGGTGGGACGAGAGAGAGGGAGAAAGGGTGCCGAAGGCGTATATGAAATGGAGTGAGGGAGAGGGACCTGGCAACTGTTCCCCAAGTCGTTTTGAGGACGCTTGGGAGTCATCAACACAAAAGCCGGTTTGGGGACCGAGAAGGGGTGAGCCATTCCTCTGCCCTTGAAGAGACTGTACAGGGAGAGGGGGCATAGGATGGAATTAGGCTCAGCCGCAGCGGTTCCCTGGGGTAGAGTTGTTTCCGAGCCCAGTTCCTCCCCCTCTGCAACTGCTTCCGGGTCAAGGGGGGTGCCGAGTCCTCCCCCTCCCCTTCAGAATGAACACTGCCTGGGTGTGCTTGGATTTGGCCCAAAGAAAGCTTTCTCTTACTTCCAACCTCCCCACCATTCATCAGAGTTGGCCGAATTGACCAACTATAGGCCGGTTTCAAGAAGGGGCAGATAATAAAGAGTCGATCGCCCTCTCGCCTTTCCCCTGCCGCTTAGGGTTGCTAACCTCCAGGTGGGGGCTGAAGGTTTCTCAGAGTTACAATTCATCTCCAGACTACATAAAACACCATTTCTTTGTTTGTTTGACACCAGTTTGGTGTAGTGGTTAAATGCACGGGCTCTAATCCAGGATAACCGGGTTTGATTCTCCACTCTTCCACTTGCACCTGGCTGGATGACCTTGGGCAAGCCGTAGTTCTGATAAGAGCTGTCCTTGAAAAAGAGCAGTTTCTGTCAGAGCTCTCTCAGCCCCACCTACCTCACAGGGTGTCTGTTGTGGGGAGGGGAAGGGAAAGGAGATTGTTAGCCGCTCTGAGACACCTTTGGGTAGTGAAGGGTGGGGTATAAATCCAATCTCTTTTATCTTCTTCTTCTCCTGGAGAAAATGGCCGCTTTGGAAGGTGGACTGCATGGCATTATACCCTACCGAGGCCCCTCCCCTCCCTAAACCCTACTCTCACAGGCTCCACCCTCAAATCCCCAGGTGCTTTCAAACAGAACCCGGAGCTCGCCACCCTACATGCAGTTCATTATAGATTTCTCTCCCAGTGGGTCTCCTAGTTCCAGCTCTAGAGAACAGTACAATTTCTCCCGGTTCTCGAAATCAAATGAAAGCGAAATGGGATTACCTACATCGAGAAATTTTGGTCAGGAGCTTTTGACCATCAGGGGTGGGGGGGAGCGTGGGGAGGTCGTCTCATTTGTTGCATAGAGTCTTCCAACAAGATGTTGCTTTCGTGTACACTCGCTCTCTGAGATGGAATTTTCATCTAGACAGGCTTTGGGACTAACCCTACCCACGTTCCATCCGTGATACGCAGACCATATATTACACTACTCTTGAAATTATGGTGAGTGTGTGTGTAAAGGTAAAGGTTCCCTTGCTCGAAAGCCAGTCGAGTCCGACTCTAGGGTTGCGGTGCTCGTCTCCGTTTCAAAGCCGAAGAGCCAGCGCTGTCCGAAGACGTTTCCGTGGTCATGTGGCCGGCATGACTAAACACCAAGGCACACGGAACGCTGTTACCTTCCCACTGAAGTGGTACCTATTTATCTACTTGCAATTTCTTGCTTTCGAACTGCTAGGTTGGCAGGAGCTGGAACTAGAGACGGGAGCTCACTCCGTCATGTGGCACACTCGGGTCTTGAACTGCTGAACTACTGACCTTCCACAGCCTGCAGTTCAGCGTCTTAACCACTTGAGCCACCGCAGCTCCGAGTGTGTGTGTACAAAAGTACAAATGGAATTTGCCTTTATCTGACAGTCCAGAAAGGCCCCCGAAATAGAGTCAAGTGTCGTTGCGCACCATTTTCCTTCCTGCCAAGCCCCATTTTAATTCAGGAAACATTGAGGTAAGCCTTTTCTGTGTGACAAAATTATCCCTAAGAGCTGTAATTTACAGGGAACAGAGAGCTGAACGTATATACCTTCTTCAAAAAGAACGAAAAGAAAATCCCCCTGCATCTTCCGCGTCCCTCGTTTTTCAGTTTCAAAAATGCAGCGGCGCCATTAAGCTGAGCCAAAAATTAGAAACTCCGTTTGTAATCATGCGACTAAATGCAGATTAAAATTACTTTAAGTCTTAAGTGGAGGAGCATAATTATTCTCATTTAGTTGCTAATATAATTTAAGCATGATGTCGTAACCTCCTTTAGAAATGTCACAATTTTTTTCCCCACTGGCAAAGCTGATGTCATACCCACATGTCTCTATCCGTCTATATATACACGCACACTTCATACTTAATACTGTAAATGGAGAATGTTTAAGATGCAAATCGCCCATTAGGACTGGTGGTAATATATAACCACAAGAGAAGGTTTAAGTCAATAAATCTTCTCAGATCAAAGACACGTAGCTGCATATTTTCTATCTAGGTCACATGTGTTTTATTCTACCACTTTAATATTTCATCTCCCCGTAAATCCACAAAAGTAAGTCTGGTAAACTGCGATGTTTTTTAAAAATGAATCGTAGAGCAAATGATTTATTTATTTGGCGCTGTCTCTCTCTCTCTCTATTTTAGCCTTTTCAGCTCGTCCTCCCTGCAGAAGTGAAACCAGACAGCAGCACTGCCAGAAGGTCTCAGACAACTGGACATTTGGTTATCAGCATGCCAAAGGTAGGAGAGGTATTCCCCACAGATGTTAAAACGTACTTGCCCGTGTGGTAAAACACCCCCACAATCCCTTGTTTCTGCCACGGATGACGAAAGATCTATTGGTGTAGTGGTTAAGAGCGGCAGACTCCACAATCCCTTGTTTCTACCATGGATGACAAAAGATCTATTCTGAAGGGCCTGGTCTTAAACCAGTTTGGTGTAGTGGTTAAGAGCGGCAGACTCTAATCTGGAGGGCCAGGTTTGATTCCTAGCGCATCCTTCATATGAAGCCCGCTGGGTGACCTTGGGCCAGTCACAGCTTTCTCAGAGCTCTCTCACAGGGTGTCTGTTGTGGAGAGAGGAAGGCAAGGCAATTATAAGCTGCTCTGAGACTCCTTTGGGTAATGAAGGGCGGGGTATAAAACCAACTCTTCTTCTTCTTCCTCCTCCTCCTTGTTTGTTTGTTTATTTATTTATTTATTCAATTTATACCCCACCCTCCCCGCAAGCGGGCTCAGGGCGGCTTACAGCATTGGCACCAATTGCCAATAAAACCATAAAAACATTATAAAACAGCACAATACAGATAAATTCAGAAAATCATAAGGTGCTATTAATTGTACAGTTCATTTCTTGCGGTGGTGTGCTAGAGATGTCTACAACTGCTGAATTCCGGCTCAGCGTTGAAGTTTAGACTCCAGTGTGGTGTAGTGGTTTAAGCACTGGGCTAGGATCTGGGAGACACAGATCCAAATCCCCATTCTGCCATGGAAACGTGTTGGGTGGCTTTGGGCCAGTCACATACCCTCAGCCGAGCCTACCTTACAGGGTTGTTGTGAGGATAAAACGGAGGACTGGAGAATGATGTAAGCCGCTTTGGGTTGCCTTTGGGGAGACAGGTGGGTTCTAAATTAAGCAAGTACAATCAGTCATTCTGTAACAACTTCTTCCCCTCCCCTGTATGTTCTCCCCTTCAGGCATTGCAGAGTTCATGATAAAATTGACCTTCATGACATCTCCTTCTGTCACCACGTGAGGACCTGGACACAAGCATGTTAGACTTGTGTTTCATGTGAATGATCTTGCTCCCCAAATTTCACTCCAAAATAGCCAAGCATAGGATGGAACCTTTTCCTCCGTGGTCTCTAGCTTCTGTTTTGGAAGGGGCTGGTGACTTAGGTTTTAAAAATGAGCCTAGACAACAGTGTGTCCAAATTGGGATACAGATCACTGCAATGTAATTTAGGGGGTTATGACTAGGGATGTGGGGGGAAAAAATTGAAATTGACATGAGATGTAAAGACAGAAAGACACTGGGATATGACTTAAGTTTTAAAAATGAGCTAGACAACAGTGTGTCCAAATCGGGATACAGTTCACTGCAATGTAATTTAGGGGTTTATGACTAGGGATGTGGGGGGAAAAAATTGAAATTGACATGAGATGTAAAGACAGAAAGACACTGGGATGGGAAGCCTAAAGCCTTGAAAACATTTTTCCCTTTAATGATTTAGGGAACAAAGTGAGGGGTGTGTGTGCTATTTTGGCAGTCTCCGGAAGCCTAACATCAAAATGGTGGCTGAGCCACATGGTCCCTCTGCAAACCACCAAACTTAAGAATCGCTTGGGATTGATCCATTCGGGGGACAGAGTGCAATTGGCACAGGACAGGCTTTAAAAAACTGCCCAGATCACGATTGGGGTGTAGGAACAAATTAGAAAATCACCAAGAGAAAACCACATAAATTTGCAATGAAGGGCAGGACATTAACGTAACTACGCAGCTGTGCTGGGGCATCAGCAAAAATACCCCCCCCCTCCCGATTCTTTTAAATTTAGTAGCACAAAACTAAGAAAGCTTTCCAGAGCTTCTGCCAGGATAGCACATACATTTGCAAGGAAGGGCAGGACATTAACGTTACTACGCAGCTGTGCTGGGGCATCAGCACAAATACCCCCCCCCAATTCTTTTCAATTTAGTGGCACAAAACTAAGAAAGCTTTCCAGAGCTTCTGCCAGGAGACTCCTCCCCCATACAAATTGCAGCCCTGTGCAAAGCATGGTAAAGTTGCGGCCGACTTTGCACAGGCACGCACACACACATATGTTGCCAACCATCACAGCTTGCAGTGCCAGTGGGTTTTCCCATGGATTCTGTACACTCATCATGTTCCCCTCATTTTTCATACTGGCCAATAACAATACGGAAAACAGAAGTCTTGTCAGTATCAACATTGGGTTCTCCCCTTTGCCTGCCTTCCTTTCTGTTCCCTTCCATTGGACAAATGGACAAATGAACGCTAAAATGCATGCGCAAAACCTGAACCACGAGGATTTAAATGGAAGGGGCGTTGCATGGACGTTACTGCACAGTTGTGGTGGGGCAATTGTGTAATTTATATATATACAAGAGGGGGACCCGCGATACTCGCGGGGGGGGGGGAAGAGCTCCGTCTCCTCCATCCCCCCCCCCGCTCGG